GATTCAGAATAAGGATTCCTAAGAACTTGAGGATTTTGAATTCCAGGGGGGAAGGAAATGTTTGTTTGTGAAGCACAGATATCTGGACTCAATTTCTGTGCATTTTCATCACTCCTTTGTACTACCATCCTAGAAAGTTAAAGAAATTTGTGTAAAAATTTGCCCAAGAATTTAAATATTGCTTATATCAGAAATTCCTGGCCCTACAAAGGGCTATACTGTGCCTGGTAATTGTAAACATTTCCATTTACTTCCTGCCCAAGAGCTATCATTTCTATGACTTAACTACTAAAACCTCAGCAGACTGTATATACTCTAACTTTCCAGTGAGGAACTGGAGCTAGAACCTTTCAGCTGTGTTCATAAGCTTTGAGGAAATTTTGATTTGAGTCTTTGTTTTTCGGGTCTACTTTGAGGGTGACAGGGGGGAATTAATTTCTGTGAAGACTGGTAAAGTCTTCGAACCAAAAATCCATTTGAATTAATGAAGAATTAACTATGTGTTTCTCCTGTGTAGCTTGCTACAGATCAGCAACACAGCCAGTGGAAAAAAAATGTACTATTTTGAAGTGCAGGCAACTGACATTATAATAGGGGACACTTGCACGGCATTCTCTAATGAGCTCACTATCACAATGATTCTCTGTAACCTACTATCTAAAACAACATTAAACACTATACAACTTTTCTTACTCTAGAAAACGACTGCCTAACAAAACAAATACCCTTTCATTAAAACTCATAGCTCTTAATGCCAGGTAATAACTCTGCATATCTTGTTACTGCCATCCATTGTCATTTACCTCTTTTTTACTGTGCCTATACTTGATAAACAACATTAAGCAAGCATGTATGGGAAACTAAAAGTCACATGCTCCAGAACATATAAAGTTAATTTATTACCTCCAAAACTTATAAAGGTACCATTAAAAAGCAAAAATTATCTATAAATCAAGACTGGAGTAAAATGCAGATCCTGGTAAATGTACCAATAAGCATTTCAATATTTTGATAAATTTATATAAATTTTTTCTTTCTCTTTTTTTTTTTTGCCAGAAAATACAAGTTACAAAGTTAATGCTCTTGAACCTTATGTAAGACAGTGAGAAGAAAGCACAGCAGGAAATGAGATTACCCCAGTAAAACAATTTGAGCATACAATTATAATGGAAAAGCTCATTTCATGAGTGGCAAATATCTCCAAGTCCTCTTCTGTATCCACAAGCAAGATAGCTTAAACAAATTGTTCTGCCAACATTTCTAGAATATATGTGTATCTGAAGGCATCTTTCTCAGATACTGTCAACAAGGCAAGCAATGCTAAAAATTATGTTTGCAAATCACATGGTGACAGTTTTGATTATAAAACTTGATAAAGCATTGGGTGATCTGGTTTGTACGTGTTACCCAGTAGCAAGAGAGCTAACTTTCAAACAATAGCATGCCTCTGACTTTTACAGCATATTCAGGTGAGCAAATGGTTTCTAATACAAGACAGATGTGGCACACTTCTATAAAGAGAGAATATAAAACAAGAATACATGGTAGAAAGAGATTGTGAGTTTCCAAGTACTATGTCAGTGAACAACAACATTAAAAATCATTAATATCCCAACAGAGGTATGGGCTCCAAAGAGATTGAATACAATCCTTATCAGTACATTCAAGCCATTTGCCCACATATCTCTGCATTTTGGATATTTTGCCCAAACTTCTACCACTTTTTCCAGAGTATTGTGCTTCGAGACCACCACCTCCTCTTCACTAACACCTGACCATTGGCTGGTGACTGCTCAGCACTGCTTAGGCCTTCATTCTCAAGTCAGCCTCCTCCTGCATACTTCATAGATTTTACATGGAAGAACAAAAAACAGGCCTGAAAAGTACACTCTGTTGCTCAGAACAACTAAACCCAATAAGCAAGCTGACATCTTTACTTTAAGGTTTTCAGTTTCTATTTCTTCACTTGCAATTAGGTTACACCGAGTTCTTAGGAAATGGGAATTTGTCCACTTCTGCCCAAACTATGACTGAAAACCAGCAAAGAGCAAACAGAGAGAATCGCTGACCTCTACCTTCCAACAGCGTACACACAACTGACCCTAACAACCCTAAGTGTTTCCTAAGCTCACTGCTAAGAGTTTTTGTTCCTGGAAGGGACAAGTTTGTTGCTTTCTATTTAAGAGACAGTTTAAAGCATATACTTCTAAAAACAGCATGAATATGTACTTCTTTATTTGTAACTTACACTTTTCCTGAAAGAAAGCATAAAAATAAAATAGTTTTCAAGGACAGAATTTGTGTGCACTGATGTTTTCTGCACATTAATGTTTGATGTTATAAATAAAGATCAAACATTGTTTCCATCCTTATGTACCCTATTCTCAAGTGCACTTCTGAAAAACAATCTCTAGTAAAGAATAAGCAGCCATGCAGTTATTTACCTTTAGTCTGTGAGCTAAAAGGTATCTTAGCATATGTTGAACTATACACTGTCTTGTTGGCTCTAGAATTATTATTTCCTAGGAAAGTGTTAGGCAGTCTCTGTTAGTCTAGATGATGCCTTTGGAGTATCTGCTGAAAAACCCTTTGATTCATTTACTAATGTATCAAAAGTACCAACCACAACAGCATATTTATTTTATGCTCCAGGAAAAGACAAGAGAATTAATAGCTTACTCCCAGCCCCTTCCATGCAAGAAATAAAAATTTGTTCTAAGAAGTCCTTTTTCACACTGGTGCTTGTCTAACCTAAGATAATACTAACTGAATCTCTTCAGCTAACAATACAGCACTTTTTGTACACCACTTTCCTGCCACCACAGCAAAGCACGGATTAAGTGATGACTGCAAAGGGAGAGCATAGCCTGAGGCAGAGAAGAGAGAGAGCTGAGATGCACGTACTGCTTACTTCAAGTCCTATGTTTATATATTTTTTAAACTAGGAAAGACACTTCTATGGAAAAGTACCAGACCACTGGGAATACTGAAAAAAGGCTTAAATCATTATGGAGTACACAAAAGGTGTACCAAGGGTTGACAAACTAATCAGAAAATTCAGCTACAAGCAGCAGAGGCTCTTGTTCTCTGTTTTGGGACAGAAAGAAAATTAGATCTGCCTGAGCAAGGGACAGATTTAAAAAAGTACTCCTCAGGAAAGTTTAACTTAATACATCTTACTTTATATAGAGGTTGTCTGAGAGTGTGCACACATTCCTCAGTTTGACCCAGCTAACATACAGAATTTGCTATGCCAAGGAATGAGATTTCTTGCAATCATGATGAAAATAATTTCGTACGCATGCCACTGTAAAACCATCAGTGCCATATTACTCAATAGTCTTTTCTTAGTGAAGGGTTTCAAGAAAACAACATAAAGCCCATAACCCTAATGAAAATAATATAATTCCCTCCTTGACAGAGAGTCATTAGCTGAGGCATTGTAAACCTTTTAAAATACTTACTGCAGGCAATTGTTACTTCTCAAAAAAAAAGAAGAAAGAAATATCTGATTAAAAATTATGTAGCCCAACAGTTAAGCTGCTTCCTGAGGAAGTTCTGTATTATATAAAGGGCTGCAAAAGATTATGCTACTTTCAAATACATCCACTAGCCTACACTAATTAACATTAACGGAACTATAAACATTTAATGTCTTCTGTTATTTCAGTATTGGTATATACAAATGCACCTCAATTGCATACTATATAAACCTCACTTTCCCTTATTAGAATCAGATCAGCTGAGATATGGTAGCCAAGGGCTTTGGATTTATTAAATCCAACTGTAATGTCGACTTTGCCATCTATGCTATCAAAGTCTTAGCCATCCATTAAAAATATATGCATTCATTCTCACAGCCACATTGTGCAGCAGGGAAGTGCCTAACACAACCAGTAGTCACAGAGATGTTAATGCCAATATAGCACAAAGCTTTATAAATCTTAGGCTTGCATGTTAATGGCTGGGCTCATCTTTCTACTCTGCTGCCTAGTCTGGTGACATAAAATAGATGGCTTGCTTCATGCCCTGAATACAGCAATGTTATAATTGCCAAAGGATAAACATTTCCTTTCCAATTTTTCACCTTTAGAGAAAGAGATGCACACTTCTTTCCTCCTGCAAAAAATCACAAACTTTAGCTAGCAACCCCCTTAGACCCTAAGCCTCTTGTTCTGAGCAAGATGATGAAATGATCAGAAACTAACTTCATCCTCCTTTAAAACCTAAGCTAAAATAATTTCATTTGTGCCAGACCTCTTAAGTTTCATTACTTTCCAAAAGAACAACATGCAGTAGTTTCATGGCTTTAGGTTGCAATTTCTAAATTTTCTAAAAATTTGTAAATGTGGAAATAGCACTTCCCTTTGCTTTTCTTTGCCCCTGTACCTCAGTAACACTCTTACTCAGCAAAATATTTCCAGCCTCTGCTGCATAAACTATTTTTCCGATTTATCAGGTACTTAATTGTTGAATGCCTACTCTATCAGTTGCTGCACTTGCTAACTGAGCACTCTGCAAGGCTGCTTCTGCTCTTCTCTTGCAGCTCAGTGAGCTCCAGAACACCCTAATTACACACCAGAATTGTACCAAGTTTAAAATAGAATACCACACAGATGCATCAAGATCTGTTAGTCATTCTCTTAACAGCTCTACCACGCCATTAAGAACTAAAGAAACAAATGTGAATTAAGTTATTTTAAGAATTCTCTATTAGCATGACAAAAAGGATGGTCCTACTGATACCAGCTTCCTCTTACATGAGGAGATCTTTGATACTACAATTCTCTCTCGCAAAATGCATTATTAAACATTTCTTCATCCTCTGGGGAAAACACCAAAATAACCCCTTATTTTAAACCACATTATCCTATAGTTTACAAAAGATTTCTGTAATATAACTCACCTAAGAGACTATGCAATACCAGCAGCTTTGTAAAAATTGATTTATGTTCACCTAAAATAATTACTTTTAGCATATGATACAATAAGGATTTTACCTGCCACTCCTCTGAAGCGCAAATATGATGCCTTTCTCCTGAAAAGGAAGCAGTTTCTTTCTCAGTCTTTCAGGTAGAAAGGACAGCTTAGCATCAACATTTTCTGAATTAGAAGCTTCAAGTATAGGTGTTTCCTGGAATGTACTAGCCATGTTGAACCTAAGAGTAACAAAACAAAAACCATCTTACTTAAAAAGCAGGTCTGCAAGACATTACAGAATAAAGGTTCATGGAACAATAATAATCACTCCATCTTGAAATACACAATACCTACATAACTCTTCAAGTCTTGAGAATTCTCTCTAGAAAGCATAAAATAATGCAGATGGAGGAAAAGCCCACCGCCTCATTATCAATATTCTAACTATTCCAGTATGAAGAGGTCAGCATGTATCACTTCCTTAAATAACTGTTTCATGACATTGAGAAAGTTCCCTATTCATGGATGAAAGTTATTGGCCATTCAAATAGAACCTTCTTACAGACACTGAAACATAATTCTTTTAGTAAACATTTTTCATAAGTGTTACAGGAAGAAAAGGTTATTTAACCTTCTGATGATGGAATTAACAGTCCTCTAAAATTTTTAATCCTAATAGTTAAGTCAGGAAAAAAGGGCAAAATACATCCATTTTGGGGGAAGGAAAAAAAGAGAAAAAAAAAGAGAGTAAGGAACTTTATTCCCCTCAGAAAGAAACAATCTTAAACCATAGAATTAATCAATGAAAATTCTCATACTGTGATTCAGACTGAAAATGTGGATTCTTCTTCATTCACTTTTGTCCAAGGGGACAGGGTCAGAGAAGAAATACTAGCTTTTGTTCTCTTATAACTTCAATAGACTTTAAACAAACAAATGATTAAAAAGCTCAGTAGCAGCGTGCCAACTAAACATGAGGAAAGTAACAAACCTTTACATCAAAGCATTGCCTAATTATTTTGGATTCATGGCCTGTGTGAGGCGCAGGATTACCTTAACAATCATAGGAACAAAGAATATCAGTCAAAATATGCTTCCTGTATTGTTAACAGTAGATATCGTTACCACCAGGCTTGATAGCAAAATTCTGAACACTTTGCACTCAGATTTTTTGATACTGACATATTTCTGAAGCAACTCAGAAGAAGTCAGGTATGATTTGGTGGGATGAACCATTGTATTCACAAGAAGAAATATGCTGAGCGAAACTGTCATTCACTTCCAAGATCTGCAGGACTAAGTAACCTGTTTGGTTACAAAGTAAGATAGACCTGGGGACAATGCAAATGGTTAAAGTAACCAACATAATCAAGCATGATCATGCAAAACAGTTTGCAACAGTTTCCTTTTATTATCATGGAGTACAGGTGAGGAGGCAAAACAAACAGATTGATTCAGATGAAACCATATGCCACAGTGAAAGAACAGTACCTCTGTATTCCTAAGGAATTCCATTTCTGAAATGTTACTTACAAAACTTGTTGTACATTCTTCCAGCTGAAGTTACATTTTCTGCAGTGAAGAGAATCTACCTCTAACTGCACTACTGCACTATATCTATCTACAGCCCAAGTTGAAAGAGTCTGGGCTTTTGTTCTAGCACAACTATACAAATACCTTCTAACACTCCATCTTCCACGGGTCTATGTTAGACTAAAACTGAGAAACCCTTCCATTGGGAAGGGAGGGGGGGTCCTACTGGAAGTTTTCCAAGAGCGTTGGAAGTCCCTGGCCCCTGAGAGCCCCTCTCCATGGTGCTTACCCCGTGGCCGTGGTGCTACCAGATGCGGAGCTGAGATGTGGCAGTGGGATTCGCTGAGCCCTTCCTGTACATCTCTCACATGGCCGAGTCTGACGGGTCCTGTCTTGTTGGACAGTTAATATTGTCTTAAAATCAGAGAGATCCAAAGAAAAAGAATAGAGGACTAGAGAGCACTGCAAAAATAAGGTATCAGGAGTTCGCCACTTCTGGAGAAAAAAAAAAAAAAAATTGGCACTGTCAGTGCTGTTGACAAAAAATGTCTGTAACTGGACAAAAAACTCCAAACCAAATCAAAAAAAGGACCATCCCCTCCCCAAAAAAGAAAAAGATAAAAGAAGAAAGCAAGGACCTGATTGTTTTGGAAATCCAATAAACTGGTGTAGAACCCTAGAAAAATGAGGATTTTGGAGTATCCTGTCACTGACATCACCAGTCAGACCAACAACATTCAGACAGACAGACAGAGAGTAACTGCTTTTCTTGGTTATATGCTGAATCACAGACATACCTATCCAGATACGCATCACAGACATTCAGAGAACTGGAAAGAAAATGCTGCAGTCAAACCTACAGTCAAGTTCCATGAGATTGTCATTGTGAAAGTATTGAACGGGCTAACAGTGCATTTATGCATTCTGTGCATACCTTCTTGGGCATATATTACCACTTCTACAACAAAGTGGTCTGTAACCACAACCGTTTTGACATACGATTCTGCTAGACAATGAGGGGAAAAAAGTGAATTTAAATTTAAAATATCAAGCAACACTCGAAGTTGAGGCATAAAGGCTGTATTTACCATTGCTATGAATTTTGTTCTATTTTGTATTAAATCACTTAGCTGCTACAGAATCTATTTTAAGAAGCATATTCTTCAAGAGTTATCCTTTGTGCCACATATAAAGCCCTTGAAATATTATTGCACATGTATGAAAACAACAGTTCTAACTGGAATCATAGACGAGTGTGCATATCTTAAGGACTTCTGTATAAACATGGTTTCAACCCTGGTCTCAAAAACATAAAACTCAAGGGTCTGAACATCTGACATTACTGACTGGATGAGCGCAAGTGATTCACACAGCAATAACTCCACAGCTGGAAGGAGGCTGCTGTGTGCTTTCAGTAGCACAATCAAGGTAGAGAAAGCCCAGTTCTCAAGTAAGTCTGGTACTATCAGCAGAAAGACATGATCTTTTCTCCCTAGATTCATATCAGGTTTTGCACTGAAGGTGCTAACCTAAGAAGAGACAAGCCCAGTGCTGCTAAACTTCCTCCTGATACAGACCTCTGACCTTCTAGAAGACAACCGGTTCAAAGATAAAGAGGGATACCTTCTGAATGCCAATGAAATAGCCAGTTATAGAGAAAGGAAATCTGGATTTCTTTTACAAACCAGACATTCTGTGTCATCTAAGCGTGATTGCACTATTGACTATGGCTTTTTTCCCTCCTAATTTTATAAGTGGCATCTCTTTAAAGAAATATTCTTGTACCTTGGGCCTCTGGAACATTCAAGAGCAGATAAAAGTACTATGATCAGTATCAAGGCTCTTTGATGCATGTCCATCATTGGACTTTGCTTAACAGAGAAAGGAAAGCTTCTGGCTTGGCTTGTATACCCAAGAGATGCATTTCACAGAAAAGAAGTCATAAAGCTCTGGTAAATACCCCCTTCATCTCTCAGCTGAGCAAACAGAAATGTTTCAGCTCTAACTGTTGGGAAAGCGATCATAATCACTTCAATAGTTCTGTCACAATATTTTCCACAGCGCATTTTTTTTTCTTTAAAAGTTGATTGAGGTACTTCGAGACTGTTGGCAAAAAACAAACACTAAACATTTCTGTAGAGCCAGCCTTAAACAAGTATGCTGCAGGATTGGTGGACTCAACAAACTTGTTCAATACTCAGTTCTGTGATTCACCTCTAAAGAAAATTTCTGACTCATTTTCTGTGATGATTTTCTATTCTATAAAAGCAGAGAAAATTATATACTTCTGATCAGTTTGCTACATAGCTTGTTGTGAATGACAATATGAAAATGAAATGTTAACATAATTAGCTTTCTGTTGAACTAGATTATAACAAAATTCTTCCACTGAAACACTGAATAAAACCCATGCAGTTTCAGAAGCATAAATCTGAATTAGGAGGCACATATGATTCATCAGTACATAGCAATACTACCATACAAAATGTTTCTGCATCAGTCATTAATAAGGTTAAAACTGACTTTGCAGATCTATCTTAAAAAGCAGCAACAGCAACACAGAAAGCACTAACTACCAGATATGTATGAGTTTTTAATTATTCACCTAGAGGAAAAAAAAAAATAAAGGAATGAATGGTGACTAATTATAGAATCGGTGAATAATTTAAGAAGTCCACACGCAGTGAATGATGACTATTATAAAAACATATACAATGACTAGTGTGAGCACAAGTCAAGACAGCAATACGAATTGTGCGTTACTAAACCTTTCACATATTGCTCCTTGGCAAAGCAAAGTAGTGTGCATAATCACATTACCCCAATATTCTCCTAATTATCAACTTTATGCTTCAGTCCTTCGCATTTACCTCATCTACACTATCATTTTAATTTGGACTACAAGCTCTCCAAGATGGACTTTGCCACCTGCTGCGCACATATAACTTAGCACTCTCATGGTTGATTACTATGGAGTTCATGGCAAGTTAAAAAAATACCTCAGGTAAAATACTTGATACTCGAAATATGATTGACTGAGAACATGCACTTCAGAATGAAGTTTTAAGAACTTAGATAACTAAAATGCACTTTTTTTAAAGCAACATTTACATAGTTCTTCCCTGAACCTTTTAAGTTTACTTCAGTTATTGTAAACATGCACTTTTTAATGATCGTACAAAGAATCACACCCTGAAGATTCAAAGATCTCTATCACAATTTCTGACTAAACAGCAGTGATAAAAATCCGTATTCAGTCTATATTCATACCTGCAGCACTACAGAAGGTACTATGAAAGGTATATTGACCCCACAAAAGATTTATTTTGGTTGTGTAGAAATGAGAATGAATAGTGATGAAACAAGACAGAGAAAGAAATCAGTTCCACCAACTTGCCTTTTACTGATTCATTGAAGTAATAATTATATTGAGAACTGACGCCTTACTTGTGTATAATGACTTTGGCAGTGGTGGTCATTTATATTCTATTTTGAGACAGATCAATTACGTACACCACTGTAGTAATGTCAACAAATAAAAATAGCTTTTTTTTTTAAAAAAAAATTTAGTCAGTATAGCAGAAGACCAGTTTGTGTCTGTTGTTCTACCCATTGCAGATTTGGAAGCTCTAAGAAGAAAGAGAAAGATTAGTGTATGTTTTGACCAACTACAATTTTTCATTTGTTTCTGTGTCCTTA